CCAGGGAGACACCGTCCTGTTCACTGGACGGCAGCTGTGAGGGTGGCGAAGTACCTAGCGACGACATCAGGCGTGGGGCTAGTTCTTGGAGGGCAGCAGTCTGTCGCACTTACTGGTCACTGTGACTCTTCTTACGCTGACGACGCTGAGACTCACAGGTCTACTCAGGGTTACTGTTTCAGTCTGGGTTCTGGAGCTGTTTCTTGGAGGTCCACGCGCTCCTCCTCGGTCTCGACCTCCACCGCTGAGGCTGAGATCTACGCTGGTGCCATGGCGGCACAGGAGCTGCGTTGGTTGACCTTCTTGCTCACTGACCTTGGTGAGAGGCCGAGCTCTGCACCGACCTTGTTCTCTGACAACAAGGCATCGATTCTCCTTTGTCGTGAGCCACGACTGGAGAGCAGAGTGAAGCACATCAATGTCAGGTACTTTCTTCTGCGAGAGTTACAGAGGCGTGGACAGGCTCGTTTCGAGTTTGTGGAGTCCGAGGCCAACACTGCAGACATCTTCACCAAGGCACTTTTGCCTTGTGACCACCAGAGGTGTTGTGTGCAGTTAGGCCTTGTTGACACTGGTTCTCGTCTTGTGTAGACTTGAGTTGACTGTTTGTTTTGCTTGTACACTTGCTGTGTATCTTTGTGAGTTCTTGGACTGGCCTTGTGGCCCCTGGTGTTTGTGCTCAGAGTGTGTGGTGACTTTGTGATCCACCCTGAGCTTTGTTTCTTTTGGACTGGTCTTATGACCGTACTGTGTAGGTCTTTCTTCAACACCCCTCACTTAGGCTATGGGGGTGTGTCAAATGTGTAGCCTGTAGTGAGGCTTGTCTTAGGGGGTACATCTGTTAGGGTTTCTATATGTACCCCAACCACATCAATGAAACACAACATTCTCTCATTCTAACAGGCCCTCCCATATCCTCGGGGACAGCTGTCGCATAGTCTCGTGGCGAAGGCTGTTTTTCCCGCCTCCTGAATTCGGTTTCGCCCCACACACATTTTCGAAATACACGATTTTCAGGTTTTCGCCAGACTGTTTCAACCCCACATAACTTGAAAAATTACCATGCTGACCTCGGGTTTTTAACCTTTTGTATTCCCTTGTAATCATATAAAAGCTTGTATCTCTTTGCTTTAATCAATCTATCTTGCCCTCACATACTAGCGCAAGGTGGTTCAACCATTGTCATCAAAACGCTGCTGCAATACAACACTTCTATCAAGAGTCAGCCTTGAAAGATCCTAAGGGCAGGGCCTCGGATTCGTTTTGGGTGACCCTGAGCACTCAGGGTCCTTTGGGGCTGTAACACTGATCATCAGGATTGCCTGTGGAGAAACACTGATTTCTCAGGGTTGTTGAAAAAGAAACACTGATCAAACATGGTGCCTTGTAAGAAAACACTGATCAGTGAATCTACAACCACAATTAAAATAACTTCAAAAAAAAAAAAAAAACGAATCTCTTTGCGCCGTTTGCTGATGCTTGGACAGCCAATCTCTTTGCGCCGTTTTGCCAACCCAGCACGAAATTACTGTCAGAGGTCCACTGGTGATCCCCGATTGATCCTAGGGAAGGGTTACAGGCATGGCGGCATGGGGGGTTATGGGCGCACTCACCCGCTACACAAACAAGCCCTTCTATCCCAGTGGTTAGTGGCTGGGATTCTGACATGGTATCAGAGCGAAGGTCTCGGGTTCGAATCCCGGTGTGTGCACCTCGGGCATCCCAGTGCGGGGGGGTGTCAGAGGTCCACTGGTGATCCCTGATTGATCCTAGGGAAGGGTTACAGGCATGGCGGCCTGGGGGGTTATGGGCGCACTCACCCGCTACACAAACAAGCCCTTCTATCCCAGTGGTTAGTGGCTGGGATTCTGACAATTACCCCGTTCAGCTGCTGTATCTAGGCGAGTTGCATGGTGGCGTCAGTGCAGGGTGGGTACATGAATGATGACGGCGCGCAAAACAGCGAGAATCACGGAATTTTCGGTTTCAGGGTCGTCTCCGATACAACACTGACTCGTCAGTGTCGTCAAACAGGAAACACTGGAAAATCAGTCCTTGGAAACATAAAACACTGATTCATCAGGGTTGTACAAAGAAAAAGGTTGATAGATCAGGGTCACAATAAAAAACTGGGGTCAAACTTCAGGAAATCAGGGTAAAATTCCTGAAATCTGAGGCCCTGCCTAAGGGCCTTTCTCAGCCCAACAGGTGTTACGTGGGCGGGATAGTGGCGGAAAGTAAGGGGCCAGGAGGGTGGGATACGGGGGGGAAGGTGGATTGTATGTGGGGGGGATTAAGGGTGGTAGTATGTTGGGTGGAAGGAAGGAGGAAGAAGGGGTGTATGTGGCAGGGAAGGCAGGTGGCATGTGGGGGGAAAGCTAGTGGAACCCAGGGGGGAAGGCAGGTGGCATGTGGGGGGAAAGCTAGTGGAACCCAGGGGGGAAGGCAGGTGGCATGTGGGGGGAAAGCTAGTGGAACCCAGGGGGGAAGGCAGGTGGCATGTGGGGGGAAAGCTAGTGGAACCCAGGGGGGAAGGATGGTGGTACAATGTTGCGGCAAGGCTGGTGGTGTGGGGCGCAAGCAGGGTGATATGTGGATGGAAATGCATGTGGTATGTACAGGTGGAGGTGGGTGATAGGTCGGCAAAAGGCAGGTAATATGTGAGGGGAAGGCTGGCGAAATGGGGGGTGGGGGGGGGAGGGGGAGAGGGGGGGCTGTGGTATTTGTGGGGGGATAGACCGGAAGGGGAAGAGAGAGGAAGGTGGAAAGGGAAGTATGCGTTCATGAGGAGAATGAGAGATAGGCTGGGGGAGAAAGAAGGAGCGAGGCTGGGAGGGAAGGAAGGAGAGAGGTTGGGAAGGAAGGAAGGAGAGAGGTTGGGAGGGAAGGAAGGAGAGAGGTTGGGAGGGAAGGAAGGAGAGAAGCTGGGAGGGAAGGAAGGAGAGAGGTTGGGAGGGAAGGAAGGAGAGAGGTTGGGAGGGAAGGGCGGCCTCAAGGGCAGAGGGGGAGATGGGCGGGGAGAGATGAGGGAAGGGACCCAGGGAGGGTACTGCAGGCCAGGGGGGGAAGTAAGAGTGACGCGGGGAAGTGAGGGCGATGCGGGGAAGTGAGGGCGACGCGGGGAAGTGAGGGCGACGCGGGGAAGTGAGGGCGACGCGGGGAAGTGAGGGCGACGCGGGGAAGTGAGGGCGACGCGGGGAAGTGAGGGCGACGCGGGGAAGTGAGGGCGACGCGGGGAAGTGAGGGCGACGCGGGGAAGTGAGGGCGACGCGGGGAAGTGAGGGCGACGCGGGGAAGTGAGGGCGACGCGGGGAAGTGAGGGCGACGCGGGGAAGTGAGGGCGACGCGGGGAAGTGAGGGCGACGCGGGGAAGTGAGGGCGACGCGGGGAAGTGAGGGCGACGCGGGGAAGTGAGGGCGACGCGGGGAAGTGAGGGCGACGCGGGGAAGTGAGGGCGACGCGGGGAAGTGAGGGCGACGCGGGGAAGTGAGGGCGACGCGGGGAAGTGAGGGCGACGCGGGGAAGTGAGGGCGACGCGGGGAAGTGAGGGCGACGCGGGGAAGTGAGGGCGACACGGGGAAGTGAGGGCGACGCGGGGAAGTGAGGGCGACGCGGGGAAGTGAGGGCGACGCGGGGAAGTGAGGGCGACGCGGGGAAGTGAGGGCGACGCGGGGAAGTGAGGGCGACGCGGGGAAGTGAGGGCGACGCGGGGAAGTGAGGGCGACGCGGGGAAGTGAGGGCGACGCGGGGAAGTGAGGGCGACGCGGGGAAGTGAGGGCGACGCGGGGAAGTGAGGGCGACGCGGGGAAGTGAGGGCGACGCGGGGAAGTGAGGGCGACGCGGGGAAGTGAGGGCGACGCGGGGAAGTGAGGGCGACGCGGGGAAGTGAGGGCGACGCGGGGAAGTGAGGGCGACGCGGGGAAGTGAGGGCGACGCGGGGAAGTGAGGGCGACGCGGGGAAGTGAGGGCGACGCGGGGAAGTGAGGGCGACGCGGGGAAGTGAGGGCGACGCGGGGAAGTGAGGGCGACGCGGGGAAGTGAGGGCGACGCGGGGAAGTGAGGGCGACGCGGGGAAGTGAGGGCGACGCGGGGAAGTGAGGGCGACGCGGGGAAGTGAGGGCGACGCGGGGAAGTGAGGGCGACGCGGGGAAGTGAGGGCGACGCGGGGAAGTGAGGGCGACGCGGGGAAGTGAGGGCGACGCGGGGAAGTGAGGGCGACGCGGGGAAGTGAGGGCGACGCGGGGAAGTGAGGGCGACGCGGGGAAGTGAGGGCGACGCGGGGAAGTGAGGGCGACGCGGGGAAGTGAGGGCGACGCGGGGAAGTGAGGGCGACGCGGGGAAGTGAGGGCGACGCGGGGAAGTGAGGGCGACGCGGGGAAGTGAGGGCGACGCGGGGAAGTGAGGGCGACGCGGGGAAGTGAGGGCGACGCGGGGAAGTGAGGGCGACGCGGGGAAGTGAGGGCGACGCGGGGAAGTGAGGGCGACGCGGGGAAGTGAGGGCGACGCGGGGAAGTGAGGGCGACGCGGGGAAGTGAGGGCGACGCGGGGAAGTGAGGGCGACGCGGGGAAGTGAGGGCGACGCGGGGAAGTGAGGGCGACGCGGGGAAGTGAGGGCGACGCGGGGAAGTGAGGGCGACGCGGGGAAGTGAGGGCGACGCGGGGAAGTGAGGGCGACGCGGGGAAGTGAGGGCGACGCGGGGAAGTGAGGGCGACGCGGGGAAGTGAGGGCGATGGGGGGAAGTGAGGGCGATGGGGGGAATCTTGGGCAACGGGGAGGGGGTGCGAGCGCGATGGGGAGAGTACACCAAGGCGTCGAGTGAGTGACGTGTGCGAGTGTGCCGGCTGCACGAGTGACGCGGTAGTGTGTGACGGGGAGGAATGACGCTGGATTTTGCCTTGGAGTGGAGACTACTACTTCCTTGCCATGTTGCTAGAAAAAGGCCCCCAAACGCAGCGAGGGGTATATCTATTAAGTGCAACAACGTGGTTGAAACAATTAACTAGATTATTCGCCACCACGGCTTGCTGCTGCTGGCCCTTTCTTTCTCTCTGGACGCCTGCTCCTGCCGCTCGTGCATCTTGGCTTCAAGCACCTTCATTCTTGCCCTATGCGATGCAGATGATGGTGATGATGGTGATGATGGTGATGATGGTGGAGGGATGGGAAGGGATGATGGGGAAGGGATGATGATGGGGAAGGGATGATGATGGGGAAGGGATGATGATGGGGAAGGGATGATGATGGGGAAGGGATGATGATGGGGAAGGGATGATGGTGGAGGGATGATGGTGGAGGGATGATGGTGGAGGGATGATGGTGGAGGGATGATGGTGGAGGGATGATGGTGGAGGGATGATGGTGGAGGGATGATGGTGGAGGGATGATGGTGGAGGGATGATGGTGGAGGGATGATGGTGGAGGGATGATGGTGCAGGGATGATGGTGGAGGGATGATGGTGGAGGGATGATGGTGGAGGGATGATGGTGGAGGGATGATGGTGGAGGGATGATGGTGGAGGGATGATGGTGGAGGGATGATAGTGGAGGGATGATGGTGGAGGGATGATGGTGGAGGGATGATGGTGGAGGGATGATGGTGGAGGGATGATGGTGGAGGGATTATATGGAACGATGGCAGAATGGGTGGGCAGTGATAACCAGACAGCAGCTGTGGGCAGCGTAGAGAGGGAGGGAGGGATGGAGGGAGAGAGGGAGGGAGGGAGGGAGGGAGGGAGGGAGGGAGGGAGGGAAGGCAGGAAGGGAGGGACGGAGGGAGGGAGGTGAGGAAGGGCAGCAGCGCACCTGGTGTCTTGTAGCTCGCCATGCAGCCTCCACCGCGCCTGGAAGCCCTCAGGGCCGGGCGTGGCACTGGCCAGGATGAGCCGCCTGCACGAATGGCAAGTGGGGAATGCAGGAGTTGCAATGGGGATGGTGCGTGTGGGATGGGAATCGGGGAGGCGTATGTTGGGAGAGGAGAGAAAGAGTAAGAGAAGCACTTGATGCCATGCAGCCTCCACCGGGTGTGAAAGCCCTCACGGCCGGGCGTGGCACTGATCAGGATGAGGCGCCTGTGAGTGAAGGTGAGGAACGCAGGAGGTGTGTGTGCATGTGACTAGCGCGTGTGATGCGAGTACAGCATGTGGGTAAGCGATGCACTTGATGCCATGCAGCCTTCAAGCCTTCAGGGCCGGCCGGGCATGGCTCTGATCAGGATGAGGCGCCTGTGAGTGTGGCAAATGGGGAAGGTGTGTGAGGGTCGGGAGTCAGAGAGGTGAATGTTGGGACGAGAATGGCACTGACACACATGGCACTGACCAGGATGAGATGTCTGCACGTGTCGCAAGTGGAGTATGCAGGTGGTTCGTGCATGTGCATAATACATGAGGCGAACTAGGGGAGAAAGTGGGGAGCCAGAGCGGAGTAGGAGGGAAGAGAGAGGGAAGAAAAGGCGAAAACGAGGGGAGAGCGAGGGGAAGAAGAGGGGAGAGCGATGGGAAGAAGAGGGGAGAGCGAGGGGAAGTGGAGGTGAGAATGAGGGGAGAAAGTGGGGAGAAAGTGGGGAGAAAAGGGGAGAAAAGGGCTTAGCGGCGGAACAAGGAGGGAAGAACTTTGCAGCCTGAGTGTCATAAGAATAATGAAAACAATCGCTCGCCTTCAAGCTCTTTCAAGCCCATGAAGCACAACACCCCGTCTCTAAAATCCCCTTTTTTCTCTCCTCCCCCACCCCCCTCCTCTCCCACCCCCCTCCATCACCCCATCGTCCCCTACTCTCCCTTTTCCCTTTCCCCTCCTCTTATGTTTCCAAACACTTCCGCTCCGCCCCTGACCCCTTGCAACGCTGCACGGCATGCACCATCTTCCCCCTCGGCCTGCAGCAACCGGGATCCAGCCGAGTACCCACCCTACCTACCACTCCAGCTGTTCCGCCTGCCCTCTCATCGCCCCCACTCACTCGCTCCTTGTTACCCTCAGCTTCACAGCCGCCAGCCTTTCACCGGACTAGCGCCTCACTGCCCTCCCCTGTCCGGTTCACAGCACCCTACCGCTCCAGCTGTTCCGCCTGCCCTCTCATCGCCCCCACCCTCTCCTCGTTGCCCTCTGCCCCACAGCCGAGCACCTCACATCCTCCCCATGTGTGGCACACACACACACGCACACACACACACACACACACACACACACACACACACACACACACACACACAGACACACACACACACACACACACACCACACACACACACACACACACAACACACACACACACACACAAAACACACACACACACACACACACACACACACACACAACACACACACACACACACACACACACACAACACACACACACACACACACACACACACACAACACACACACACACACACACACACACACACAACACACACACACACACACACACACACACACACACACACACACACACACAGAGCACAGCACAGAAGCCCTCTTTCCCTACCTCTCCAGTTGCTCCGCCTGCCCCTTCATCACCCCCACTCGCTCCTCGTTGCCCTCTGCTGACCGACAGGCCGCTGCCTCCCCCTCTGCCTGCAGCAGCCGCGCTCGCAGCACCTCATCCTGCGCGCGAGAGGAGGGGAGAATAACACATTTGAGGCGCCTCAAAAGTCGAGAAAAGGGAGTGAAAGGGAGCACATGCAGCAATAGCTGGCTGTCTCCCCCTCTGCCTGCAGCAGCAGACGCGCTCGCAGCACCTCATCTTGCATGCGATTGAGAGGAGGGGTGAGATTGGGAGGGGTGAGATTGGGAGGGGTGAGATTGGGAGGGGTGAGATTGGGAGGGAGGTTGACCAAGGGAGATGAGGTGCGGGCTGGGTCCGGGCTGGGTGCGGGCTGGGTGCGGGCTGGGTGCGGGCTGGGTGCGGGCACTGAGGAGGTTGGGAGCGCGTGCACTAACAGCTGGTTGGTAAGGGCGTGTTGCAAGTAAGGGATCGATCCCCTCTTTGAACCGATCCCCACTGTTGTCAAACAATGTAGCATATGGTTACCTTACCACAATACAGTGTCAGCAGGAAACTGGCGACAGCCGGCTCGATTGCCTCGGCAATGATGATTGATCGTGAGATTGACGATGCAGCCTACAGTCACAAAGCCATTTCGCGATGCGCAGAAAAACTCATATGCCGCAAGTTTTATGCACGGGCCGTAGGATTCGACGAGACATTGGCGAATAGGATGTTCGATTTTTATCCTTCGATTTTCGGCAACAAGCCCTAACCCCGTCTTTTTCCTTCTATATTCTCATTAAGGCCTCCAGCAAGAAGGATGAGGCGTGAGTTGGCAGCGTGGCAGCAAGAAGGGGTGGGAATGGCTACCCGGCACAACGGCTACGGTGGTGTGCGCCTCCTCGCCGCCCCACCTACCCCGTGCGCCTCTCTACTTACCCTGTGCGCCTCCCTACCACCCATACCTCTCCACCGCACTGTGTCCCTCTGCACCCCCCTATCCACCCGGTGCGCCGTGCAGCGCCGCTGTGATGATGGCATCCTGGCAGAACGGCTCCACCTTCCCTCCCTTCCTCTCACCCATACCTCGTGCCCCTCTCCACCGCACTGTGCCCTTCTCCACCGCCCCACCTACCCGGTGCGCCGTGCATCGTCGTAGTGTGAGGATGGCATCCTGGCAGAAGGGCTCCACCTCGTTCGCATGCAAGCCTGTAGCGCACGGATGGGGAAACAGACGGGGCGGAGGGGAGGTGTGTGGGGAAGACTTTGAGGCGATTCAACAGTCATCCTGGCAGAAGGGCTCCACTTCGTTCGCGTGCAAGCCTGTGGCGCGCGGACGGGGCGGAGGGGAGTGCGGACGGGGGGAGGGGGGAGAGGGATGGTGGGCGGACGCGGGGGAGGGTGGACGGGGGAGACCTTTGAGGCAATTCAACAGTCATCCTGGCAGAACGGTTCCACCTCGTTCGCGTGCAAGCCTGCAGCGCGGACAGGGAGGGGGGTGGGGGAAGAGGAGGGAGAGGGGACGTGGGAGAGGGCGGACAGGGGGGAATGTGGACAGGGGGGAGTGCGAACAGGGGGAATGCGGACCGGTGGAAGTGTGGACAGGGGCGAATGTGGTCGAGGGAGTGAGTGCGGACTGGGGGGGATGCGGATCGGGGAGACTTTCAAGGCGACTCAAAGGTGGTCATAAGGGTTCCGCCTCGTTCACGAGCAAGCCTGTGGGCCGCGGACGGGGGCGAAGATGGCGGAGAGGGTGGCGGAGAGGGTGGCGGAGAGGGTGGCGGAGAGGGTGGCGGAGAGGGTGGCGGGGAGGGGTCGAAAGGGATAGAAAGTGTGGGAGCGGTGAGGGCGGAGTGAGTCTGCGAGAAGTGCAACGTGTGCGAAGTGGGCGAAAAAACGGAGCGTTCGCACCTGCAAGGTGGAACTTTTTATTCTTCCCGTGTGCGCGCGCGGGAATGGGAGACTCTCACTTCAAAGGTCGATCAACTTGATTTACCTCGTTCCCTGCCTGGACATTCGGCCCGTCTCACGCACTCACTCGCGGCCACGTCACCGTTTGCGAATATCCGATTTGCACACACACGCAGCAATCGCAACCACCGGTCTCTGCACGTATCGACGCCCTTTTGCATCCGCGTGCCTACGATCTCTGCCATCAGCTCTCATCCAAAGCCTCATATTCAACCTAGCCCCGCGCTGATCTCATCCAACGGCTCACATTCAAAGAGAGCTCTCAATCGGTCGCTGCACGTATCGACGCCCTCCAACACTCGCGGCGAGAGGTCTCGCGGAATCACAGGCGATGGCGGCCCCATGATAAGGTCGTTCGCTGTAAGAATAACTTCCTCCGCCATGGCGCTTGCGGTCTAGCAGCCCTTTCGCCTGAGGAAAAAAAAAATTTACTCAACGAGAAAAAATGACCAATCACGAAAATAATGGACGCAGCGCGTTTAGTATATCCTAAAGAATGGTGCTCGCGTCGCGTCTTAAATCACTCTGTTTTCTGTTCTCTACAGACTCGCGCTTGCCTTGTTGCTGGATTCGTGAAATTAGGGTTCCGTTTTTCTGGTTGCTCGAGATTCTGCTTTGGATGTCGAGAGAGTTTTAGGGCGGGTCCAGCGCGTTCGTTTACAGTTCATCCAGTGCGGTTGACCTTGTTGCGTCACGGTTAAAAACGGTGAAAACTGCAAACCCATTTGATTCGTTTGAAATCGTTATGCACCTCGGGTCATGAACTGTAAACGAACCGTAAACGTACGCGCTGGACACGCCCTTAATTGCGTCGCGAAACCTGGCTTGGTTCGTCGTTAGCACGTAACCTCAGTTACAACAGGGCTGTGCTTAAAGCCGGCAGCCCAAATTGCACAAGTTTTAAAAGGTTGACGCGAGGGGGTTTTTGTGGTGTGAATTTTGGCGAAAGATTCAGATTTCGCCATTTCGGTTTTTTCGCCAAACCCAGCCCGCCCTCGTATTTCGCCCTGGGGGTTGGTTCAGTTCCCAAAAGTCCCAAATTGCAGGCACGCTTTTTTTCAAACCTTGCAAACACCAGTTCGTCAAGTTTTAAAAGCTTGACCCGCGCGGCCCGCAATTTGGGCCGCGGGTAGGCAAAGGTTTGAATGGGCGAATACAGTCTTCGATGCATTGGGAAATTTGCAGCGAGATGCTTTTTAGCGACCTCGGAAATCGCATTTAGGGTAGCCGCGTCGCATCCTCTTTGTAAGTTGACTGTTTATTTTACTTCATTTGTTTCAGGCTCATTCCAGTAATTCACGTGAGAGCTGCCTGACTCCCCCGTCCGTTCTTTTCGGGACCAGTCTCACAAAGTTAAATTAGCGGGCGCGATCTTCTTGTTACGTACATAGATGTCGTCTTTAGCGGAGTACTTGAAGCGGTACACGTCGGATGGGCCTACAGGAGGCGAGGAGAAGAAGAAGAAGAAAAAGAAAAAGAAGGGCGCCGCGCCGACAAAGAACGCGGGAGGGCTCGTGCTGGTGGACGCTGACGCCACGTGGCAGAAGCCGATTGGCGAAGAGGTCGATGAGGAGGAAGATGAGGTTAGTGCGCCGTTTGATCGAGACAGCGACGATTAGAGATCACCTCGCGGGCACGGTGGTGGACTTCGCGTCTAGACAGCAGCACAAGCCGTCCCGGTAGCAAGACTTGTTCCCGTCTGTAGCAGGACAATTACGATGGAGATAGTTTGGTCTCGGTTCAGCTCGGTTGAAGCTTCCATCGAATGCATTGTGAAATTGATTTTCCATGTTTACTCTCTTACCTTTCTCTTCCGAACCTGTCTTACTACCAGCACTATTCTAACCTGCACCACCAAATCCACCCCACCAATCTGTCCTTCCGAACCTGCGTGCAGCCAGTAGCCGATGCTCCCCAGGTGGAGGAGGACGTGGAGGTTCGGCGACAGCGGCGCCTGGAGGAGGCTCGGAAGCGAGAGCTGGAGGTTCGGGAGGATGGGAGCGGATGGGTGACTGTGGATCGGACACAGGCACGGGGAGGAGGAGCGGGGAGAGGAAATGGGGAAGGAGAGGCAGGGGATGTTGGGGGGGCTGTTGAGGGTGGCAGGAGAGGAAGACATGACAGCCCGGACCTCTCTCCCCCTCGCCGAGCCAGACACGACTCCCCGGACCTGTCGCCTCCTCGGCGACGAACCAGAGAAGACTCTCCGGACCTGTCGCCCCCTCGCCGAGGCAGGAGGGTTCGGCATGACAGCCCTGACGGGGATGAGGGGGGCGACAGGAGAGATGGGGGAGGGGGGAGAGAGGAGAGAGAGGAAAGATGGGGCAGGGAGGGGGATAGGGGGAGGGTGGGAAGAGATGGTGGTGGAGGGAGGAGAGAGAACTCGCCTGACCTGTCTCCCCCTCGGAGGGGCACTAGGGGCTCACCGGACCTGTCCCCGCCTCGCAAGAGGAAAGCCCAATCATCTGATCTTTCGCCCCCTCGCCGAGCCAGGCACGACTCGCCGGACCTGTCTCCCCCCCGCCGAGCCAGAGACGTTTCGCCGGACTTGTCGCCTCCTCGAAGGGGCGGAAAGGGCTCATCGGACCTGTCTCCCCCACGCCGAACCAGGAACGACTCACCAGACCTGTCTCCTCCTCGCCGAGCCAGGCACGACTCGCCGGACCTGTCCCCACCCCGCAAGAACAGGATGGACTCGTCCCCGGACCTCTCCCCACCCCGCCGCCAAACCAGACAGGGGTCACCAGACCTGTCTCCGCCTCGTCGCCGAGCCAGACAAGACTCGCCGGACCTGTCCCCGCCGCGAAAGGGATCGGGGAAACAGGCAGGGGCGGCAGGGCAGGGTGGGGGGAGCATGTGGAAGGGGGGAGGGGGGAAGGCGGAGCGAATGACAGATGGGAGCCTGGCAGGGCTGAGGAGCGGCAAGGAGGTTATGGCGGAGGCTGAAGAGAAACGACTCAAAGACGAGGCGAGGTGAGACCTGGGAGGGAAAGAGGGGGGGAAGAGGGAAGGGGCGGGCAGGTGACAGAAGGGGAGGGCAGGTGAGGGGAGGGGAGGGCAGGTGAGGGGAGGGGAGGGCAGGTGAGGGGAGGGGAGGGCAGGTGAGGGGAGGTGATGGCAGGGGAGGGCAGTTGAGAACGAATGAGAGGTAGATGTGTAGGGTGACTGTGGGCAAGCTCTTAATGCGTCTGTTGTGGCAGGTGAGGCAGGTTGCAGGACGGGTGAGATGAGAAGGTGTGGTTCAAGAGGCGCTTGCATGGCAGCAGCGCGTGAGCTGTGTGGGGAGAAGCATCGTGTGTGCATCACCTGATTGCGCTCCTCCCCTGTCCTCCCCTCTCCTCCCCTCTCCTCCCCACTCCTCCCCTCTCCTCCCATCTCCTCCCCTCTCCTCCCCTCTCCTCCCCTCGCGTCTCTGCCTCTCTGCCTCTCTGCCTCTCTGCCTCTCTGCCTCTCTGCCTCTCTGCCTCTCTGCCTCTCTGCCTCTCTGCCTCTCTGCCTCTCTGCCTCTCTGCCTCTCTGCCTCTCTGCCTCTCTGCCTCTCTGCCTCTCTGCCTCTCCGCTTTTCCGCCTTTCTATCTCTCTTGCTTCCCCGCGCCCCCCCAGGTTTGCGCAGCTGGATCCGTCCATCAGCGGCCGGGGGGCGCAGACTGTGTACCGCGACAGAGCAGGTGGGGTGGGAGGGCAGGTGGGTGGGGGTGTGTTTTGAGTGGAATTGAAACACATGGGGGCGCAGACTGTGTTGTGTACCGCGACAAAGCAGGTGCGTGTGGGAAGGAGGGGCCTGTGGCAGGTGGGTTGGGGAGGGGGTTTGGGAGTGGGGAAAGGGTGGGAGGAGAAGGGAAAGGAAAAACCGTGTGCGTTGGTAAGGAGTGGAGTGACAATAATGGGTGGGGTGCGGACAGTGTACTTCGGCAACGCAGGTCCAGTGGAAGTAGGGGGGGGGGGAGACGCGGGAGTGGAAGGATATGAGTCGGGGGGAAGCGGATGGGAAAAGCGGATGTACTGGGAAAAAAATAGATGAGGGGCAGTGCAGCTGGGAGGGAGAAGCGATGGTACTGGGAGAAAATCAAGTTCAGGATACAGTATTATTTTGAATGAAGTGACATGGATTTATACGTTCATGTGACGCAGACGCTGGTTGGGGATCAAGGACGCCGCGTCCTTGAGTACTCCCCTCCTCCGTATGGCATTCCAAAACCTACTTTCTGTGATGTTCCGAATGTTGCGCTTGTGCCATCCTTATGTTACGCCCTCCTCCTCACCTCATGCGCCTCACGTGTCTTCCCAATGTTTGTGCTTGCGAGTGTGGGAGCATGCATCTCGTGTGGGTGTGCTGTGGGTGGGCTGATGTGCGTGCGGGCGTGCATGACTGGGCGTGCATGACTGGGCGTGCATGACTGGGCGTGCATGACTGGGCGTGCAAGACTGGGCGTGCATGACTGGGCGTGCATGACTGGGCGTGCATGACTGGGCGTGCATGACTGGGCGTGCATGACTGGGCGTGCATGACTGGGCGTGCATGACTGGGCGTGCATGACTGGGCGTGCATGACTGGGCGTGCATGACTGGGCGTGCATGTGCGTGGCAGGCAAGCGAGTGAGCAATCTGGAGGCGATCATGGCGGAGGAGAAGGCCAAGAAGAGCCGCGTGAGTGGAGGGGAGGGATGGGGGTGAAGGAAGGGGTCAGGGGGTAAGGGGTCAGGGGGTAAGGGGTCAGGGGGTAAGGGGTCAGGGGGTAAGGGGTCAGGGGGTAAGGGGTCAGGGGGTAAGGGGTCAGGGGGTAAGGGGTCAGGGGGTAAGGGGTCAGGGGGTAAGGGGTCAGGGGGTAAGGGGTCAGGGGGTAAGGGGTCAGGGGGTAAGGGGTCAGGGGGTAAGGGGTCAGGGGGTAAGGGGTCAGGGGGTAAGGGGTCAGGGGGTAAGGGGTCAGGGGGTAAGGGGTCAGGGGGTAAGGGGTCAGGGGGTAAGGGGTCAGGGGGTAAGGGGTCAGGGGGTAAGGGGTCAGGGGGTAAGGGGTCAGGGGGTAAGGGGTCAGGGGGTAAGGGGTCAGGGGGTAAGGGGTCAGGGGGTAAGGGGTCAGGGGGTAAGGGGTCAGGGGGTAAGGGGTCAGGGGGTAAGGGGTCAGGGGGTAAGGGGTCAGGGTAAGGGGTCAGGGGGTAAGGGGTCAGGGGGTAAGGGGTCAGGGGGGTAAGGGGTCAGGGGGTAAGGGGTCAGGGGGTAAGGGGTCAGGGGGTAAGGGGTCAGGGGGTAAGGGGTCAGGGGGTAAGGGGTCAGGGGGGGTAAGGGGTCAGGGGGTAAGGGGTCAGGGGGTAAGGGGTCAGGGGGTAAGGGGTCAGGGGGTAAGGGGTCAGGGGGTAAGGGGTCAGGGGGGTAAGGGGTCAGGGGGTAAGGGGTCAGGGGTAAGGGGTCAGGGGGTAAGGGGTCAGGGGGTAAGGGGTCAGGGGGTAAGGGGTCAGGGGGTAAGGGGTCAGGGGGTAAGGGGTCAGGGGGTAAGGGGTCAGGGGGTAAGGGGTCAGGGGGTAAGGGGTCAGGGGGTAAGGGGTCAGGGGGTAAGGGGTCAGGGGGTAAGGGGTCAGGGGGTAAGGGGTCAGGGGGTAAGGGGTCAGGGGGTAAGGGGTCAGGGGGTAAGGGGTCAGGGGGTAAGGGGTCAGGGGGTAAGGGGTCAGGGGGTAAGGGGTCAGGGGGTAAGGGGTCAGGGGGTAAGGGGTCAGGGGGTAAGGGGTCAGGGGGGGGGTCAGGGGTAAGGGGTCAGGGGGTAAGGGGTCAGGGGGTAAGGGGTCAGGGGGGGTAAGGGGTCAGGGGGTAAGGGGTCAGGGGGTAAGGGGTCAGGGGGTAAGGGGTCAGGGGGTAAGGGGTCAGGGGGTAAGGGGTCAGGGGGTAAGGGGTCAGGGGGTAAGGGGTCAGGGGGTAAGGGGTCAGGGGGTAAGGGGTCAGGGGGTAAGGGGTCAGGGGGTAAGGGGTCAGGGGGTAAGGGGTCAGGGGGTAAGGGGTCAGGGGGTAAGGGGTCAGGGGGTAAGGGGTCAGGGGGTAAGGGGTCAGGGGGTAAGGGGTCAGGGGGTAAGGGGTCAGGGGGTAAGGGGTCAGGGGGTAAGGGGTCAGGGGGTAAGGGGTCAGGGGGTAAGGGGTCAGGGGGTAAGGGGTCAGGGGGTAAGGGGTCAGGGGGTAAGGGGTCAGGGGGTAAGGGGTCAGGGGGTAAGGGGTCAGGGGGTAAGGGGTCAGGGGGTAAGGGGTCAGGGGGTAAGGGGTCAGGGGGTAAGGGGTCAGGGGGTAAGGGGTCAGGGGGTAAGGGGTCAGGGGGTAAGGGGTCAGGGGGTAAGGGGTCAGGGGGTAAGGGGTCAGGGGGTAAGGGGTCAGGGGGTAAGGGGTCAGGGGGTAAGGGGTCAGGGGGTAAGGGGTCAGGGGGTAAGGGGTCAGGGGGTAAGGGGTCAGGGGGTAAGGGGTCAGGGGGTAAGGGGTCAGGGGGTAAGGGGTCAGGGGGTAAGGGGTCAGGGGGTAAGGGGTCAGGGGGTAAGGGGTCAGGGGGTAAGGGGTCAGGGGGTAAGGGGTCAGGGGGTAAGGGGTCAGGGGGTAAGGGGTCAGGGGGTAAGGGGTCAGGGGGTAAGGGGTCAGGGGGGGTAAGGGGTCAGGGGGTAAGGGGTCAGGGGGTAAGGGGTCAGGGGGTAAGGGGTCAGGGGGTAAGGGGTCAGGGGGTAAGGGGTCAGGGGGTAAGGGGTCAGGGGGTAAGGGGTCAGGGGGTAAGGGGTCAGGGGGTAAGGGGTCAGGGGGTAAGGGGTCAGGGGGTAAGGGGTCAGGGGGTAAGGGGTAAAGTGGTGGGTGGGGCAAGCGAGTGAGCAATCTGGAGGCCATCATGGCGGAGCGTGAGTAGAGGGAAGGGGGGGAGGGGGGGAGTGAGGGAGGGGGAGAAGAAGGGTGGGGCGAGGGAAGGGGGGAAGAAGGGTGGGGGAGGGGAGGGGGGGACACATTTTCATCACAAGGGCGTCAGGTTCAAACTTTCAGAGAAGCGTGGTACCTACTCTGGTGGGGATTTGGGTGGAATCCGTTTGTGTGAAACGCTGCACGAGACATCCTTACACTTGCGTATGTCTGTCACTTGTGAAGCGCCGCATTCATCCCAGCTCTCCTTTCAGTAGGCGCGCATGAAGCTGACGATTCCATGCTGGGACAGACAGGGGTGGTATCTGGCACGAATGCCTGATTCGTTGCTTGACAGTGCAATCCGTAACGTCTCCTTCTATTCCCTTCTCTTCTCATGTGCTTGGCTCTTCCAGGTGCTGCCGCCACGCCACCCGAGTGGGGCAATGGTCTGGTGCAGAAGAAGGATGCGGAGAGACAGCATGCAGGCAGTACAGAGCCCTCTGTCTATCAACTGCGCATCATGACCATCTCATCCTCTACTCTGTGTGTGTGTGTGTCTCATGCTCTTCAGGTGCTTCCGCCAACCGAGTGGGGCAAGGGTCTGGTGCAGAAGAGGCAGGCGGAGAGGCAGGAGACAGTACACAGCCCTCTGTATCATGCTCATCTCATGCGCTATGATGTGCGTTTGTCTGTGTATCATGCTCTTACAATCTGTGTTATCCGTGCAGGTGCTGCCACCACCCGAGTGGGGCAAGGGTCTGGTGCAGAAGAGGCAGGCGGAGAGGCAGCAGGCCGACCTGGATGCCGTCGCTGCTCGCCCGTTCGCTGCCTATGAGTGAGTACACTGTGTACTCGTTATTGTATGTGCTACACTCGTTGTTGTGCTCATTAGTGAGCTGGTGAGACAGGAGAGGCAGCTGACAGGCACACATGGAAGCTCTGGCTGCAGAGCCATTCGTTGCCCCTGGATGAGTATTTGCCACCACATGGACTCACTCCTTAGACTCTTCATACGCTCTTGTAAGCATTACTAGTTGAAAAACGTGTACATCCCCACAAACTCGTACGTTGAGTTTCCACCTGCAGAATAACCTCCTTTTTTTCTGGTTTGTCCTGCTCGGCTGCTCCTCACTGCTCTTCCCGTCTGCTCTCCTAACGATTCCTTGCAACAAGGGAAGCGTGTTTGAATCGAATGTGGGGCAAATCATAGACTTTTTACGTGAGGTCATCTCCAAGGTCTTCACCAAGGTCATCACCAAGGTCATCACCAAGGTCATCACCAAGGTCATCACCAAGGCCTACACGTATTTTAATCCCCTCTTCCCTCTCACCTTGTTCGCGTGTTTCCATGTCCCCGGTTTGTGCCGCCCTGCAGGAACGACGAGGAGCGCGATCGCATGCTCAAGAACGCCGTGCGTTTTGGCGACCCCATGGCGCATCTCGTCAAGGTGAGCTGCCACCCCATGGCGTCATGAGGTGGGGTGCGCGTGCGGTGATGAGGTGCGGTGGGGGGGGGGTGCCTTTTGAGTCGGCTCAAGAATGTCGTGCGCTTTGGCGACCCCATGGCGCATCTTGTGAAGGTGAGCTGGGGTGAGGTGAGGTGAGGTGAGGTGAGGTGAGGTGAGGTGAGGTGAGGTGAGGTGAGGTGAAGTGGACTGGAGTGGGGGGCGAAGGCAGGTGCATCTGGTGAAGGTGAAGTGGGGGGCAAAAGTGGACCTTGGAGCAACTGTATGCATCTGCGTCCATTGGGATTGGGCAGGAGCATTGCCGCACATCCGTCGTATACACACCGCAAAATGCCACTCCCTTCAACCAAAACCTCCCCCGCTATCAGCTGACGCCTTGCTGGAGCACCTCATTCGAGACCCCGCCATGCAGGCCTCGGGTTCACACGGTGCCGCAGGCCGTTCTCTTATCCTGTCCCCCCTCCCCCCCCTCCTCTCTCCCCACACCTTGCATACACACGGAGAGCAACATATCAGCAGACGCCCTTTTAGAAGACCTCAGTCGCGACCCCGCCTTGCCGGCCTCAAGCGTCACGGTGCCGCAGGCCATATCCTCAGCTCTTAACCTGTTCCCCCTCCTCCTCCCCCGCACGTTGCGTACACACGCAGAGCAACATATCAGCGGATGCACTTCTAGAAGACCTCAGCCGAGACCCCGCCATGCAGGCGTCTGGCTTCACCGTGCCACAGGCCATCCCCTTATCCCTTTTCCACCCCTCCTTCTTCCTCCTACACCTGCATACACACACAGATCAACATATCAGCGGACGCTCTCCTGGAAGACCTCAGCCGGGACCCAGCCATGCAAGCGTCGGGTTTCACGGTGCCGCAGGCCATCCCCCCCCACAGCTGGCTCAAGCGCCGCGTGTCGGCCCCTCACAACCGCTACGGCATCCGCCCTGGCCGCCACTGGGATGGTGTTGACCGCAGCAATGGTGAGCAGTTTCCTTCTTTGCGTTCGTTCCATTTGTTTGTTGCTTCTGTCACAGTCTATTGGGTTCTGTTCTGGGTCAAAATGACTGGCGTGCATGTTGAATTCAGTCTGCCGCTCGATATTCTCGTTTTCCCATCTTCTTTGCACCTTGCAGCTTCTTCTCCCAGCATTTGAGCACGAAATGTTCCGCTCGTTGTTCAGCTTTACATACCTCCCACCTTTCTGTTTGTTTCTATCTTTTGAGTCGACCCGGAAGTCACCTTGTCAGCAGTGGCATGGACGATGCTTCATGTTTCTGCTCTACCTTCCCACCCCACCCCACTTGACTCGTGTGCCCACTGACTGGCAGGGTTTGAGCGGGAGATGTTCAAGCATAAGAACGAGATGCAGGCGCGTGAGCAGGAGGCCTTCATGTGGTCTGTTGCTGACATGTAATGTAACGCTCATGCAGCATGGCGACTGATGCGAGTGTGTCTGTGGTGGGCACTTGCTTTGGAGGCGTTGGGACTCACTTGGGAGTCACGCGTGTGTCATACTGAAGGCAACAAGTTGAGGGATACCTTACTTGACCGTTAGACATGTGTCACAATGTACTCATTCCCTTATGAAATGAAGCATGTACCAATGCCAAGCACACGTTCACAAGTGAAAACAAGTTGAAAGGCACTGCTGTACACTCATTCCGGTTTTCCCCCACTAGGTTCAAGATGCGTGACAAAGAAATGAAATCTTTCAGAAGATGCATGTCCTCGAGACCTGCGTTGAGCGGCTACGATACCGTACTTCAAATTGGAAAAGTCGTGTACGTTTGTTTGCGTTGTTACTGTGCTTCCCATTCACCAGTGTAAAGTGAAAACAAATTGTTCGAAAACAAGGCTCAATCAGGGCTGATTTTATCAGGGTAATTACCCTGATTTCAGGGCAATTACAGGCTTCTCACCTGGTGGTCCCTGCAATTTCAGAATTTCTGACTTGTGAACACTGATCCATTCAGAATAGTGCTTTAGCGAACCCTGAAATATTGTATCTAGGCTCAGAGTAGTGTTCTCACTGACTCTGTCAATGTAGAGTATGCGTTCTGTTTCCCGGAAATTTCCTCTCGATAATCCCCCATGTGCGTAATCACGATTTACCCTTTATCGATGTGAGGGAGCCCTTTCTGTACAGTAATACCGACAAGTAACAGTAGGAAGGTGGGGTGGATGTTTGGGGGAAAGATGGGGTGGGGTGGATGTTTGTGGTGTCGTGCGAGGCGCACCGTGCTGCGGGGATTTTCGGCAGCAGCAGAACACCTCTGACGCAGCAGATCTGCTGTGTCAAAGCGAATCTCTTGTCCTTGGCCCTGTTCGGCAGCAGAAATGCACGTTTTTGGGAAGCGAGGTTCAGACAAAAGCAACTTGCTGGTCCGACACCGTGGCGACACCTCAGCAGAATCTAAGGGGTTGCCGCTGTGTGCGTGCGAAAGACTGAAGTTTGACCAGGTTGGTGGACCCCAACTGCCAACACTAGCCGGTGAGAACGATCGCGGTCAAAATAAAAACAAATTACGTTGACATTGGGCAGGATTTGGATGGGTGACTCGTGGTTAATATGATTATCTGCCCGTAAGAAAAACTGTACGAAATGATGTCGAGTTGTGTTGGGATCATGCGGAGTGAAACATTCTTCCCCGTTAAACACAGAGCGCGTTACGACATTGATGTTCAATTCTCGACCCTGAGCAATCAGAGTTAACTACTTTTCAACACTGAGCAACCAGAGTAGCCTACCTGTGGAAAATATGCACCCATAATGCAGGGGGGAAATTTTCCCCGGAATCAGGGAGGCTTAAAATGAAACGTCAGCCCTGGGCTCAATACGACCATCATACTTCACACGGCAGAGCCTTCCACAACTTCCTCTACTGTGCCCGGCATGTCATCATACTTGACTGGCACGCGCAGCCGCTGCTTCACAGACACTCGCTGCTCTCCGCCCTGTGCCTTGCGCACGCCTGGCAGTGCAGCAGCCGCCCCAGGCGTGCCACCTCTCTCCACGCCCCTGCATGACAGCGCTGCAATCTCTGCAGTGCCACCCTTTGCTCTGACGCTCACACCTGCACGAGCCTCAGCCCCCGCTCCTCTTTGATCAACCTCATGCTGATCACTCTCACGCTGCTCTCCCACACAAGGGGGCACTGGCATGCACACCGCCTCCCCACACTCACCATCCACCTCCATCGGATCCTCCTCGCTTTCCCTCTCGTGAATGGCACCCACACCATTGGCTGCCACGTCACCCACACCAATGGCTGCCACGTCACCCACACCATTGGCTGCCACGTCACCCACACCATTAGCCACGTCACCCAGACCATTAGCTGCCACGTCACCCACACCATTGGCTACCACGTTATCCACAACACCTACTTTCAACCCAGCCTCTCCAGTAAGCACGCCCCGACCAACAGTGTCACAATCGCCTTCATGCCACTCGCCCTCCTCGCCCTCTTCCCACCCCTCCCCAGCGCCCTTACCAGGCATAACAGCACAGCGCCATGCATGCAGCACCTGCCTCACACTGCCATCCCCCCCTCCCACATCCAGCCGCACCTTCTCCTCCACATCCACATTCACACCCATACGCCCGCCCTTGTGCTCCACACTCACACGCCCTTTCTTCTTCTGATGCACTTCCCAAGGCCCTTCCAACAACCCCTCGTCCCCCCCACTGCTTCTTGCGCTGCTGCTCCCCTCTCCTACCCACCCCCCTGCCTCCCACTGCCACATGCCCGCTCTCTCATCCTCTCCTTTCCTTCCACCCCTCCTTCCACAACGCCTGCAACAACCTCTTCTCCGTCCCCCCTTCCATCCCCATCCCGTTTTTCAATATCCCCCTCCGCTACCCCCTCCTCTTCTCTCCCCCCCACCAGGCCTGCAGCCCTCCCCTCACCACACTGCACCTGCTCTCCCACGCCCCTAACTTCTACCCTGCTATCTTCAACCATGCCCCCTTTCCCCACCGTCACACCATGCTCCATGTGCTGTCTGTCATCCCCTCGAACACACACGCCACTGCTTGCTTGCCACCTGGCCCCACGACCCTGTGCCACGTCAGCAGCTGCAGCAGCATCGTCAGCAGCATGTGGCCGATCATCATCACGAGTGCAGCCCTCAAGTGAGAGGCTCATGGCTTCCATGCCCTCCCTGTCAGCACCGCCACAAGCAGCGGTGGCTCCACAAATGGACCCACCAACGGCCTCTCCTCCCTTGTGCTGCCAGTGCCGCTTCCTCTTCTTGCTCGCCTGCCCTCGCTCTCTTCGCTTCTGCGCACACACAGGCACCGGGATGGCGCAGCACACGCAGGCACAGCGGATGGCGCAGCACGCACAGGCAGTGAGGAGGTGTGAGGCCTGCAGCACGGAGAAGGAGGATGGATGGATGGTCACATGGAGTGAAATGGCAGCCTTCAATGCCTTCTCTTTCCCATGTCTCCCTCTGTCTGATGCTTCAAAAGGACACTGTTGCATACCTGCATGCCTCTCGCTCTGCCCAACAGACCTGCATGCCTCTCGCTCTGCCCAACAGACCTGCATTCTGCTCCGCCCCGCCTACAGAGTGCCTGTGCTTTGTTTCACCCGCTCCACATACCTGCAACTCTCTCTCCTCGGCCATGATTTCGTTGTACACGTCAGCGCTGACTCGCGCCCTCAGAATGTTCCAGAACACGCCGCCCGGAGTGCGGCGCCTCTTGCCGTCCGCCGTGAGCTGGCCTCCACAGCGCTGCACCGCGTCCACCTGCCGGGGGTGGGGAGAGGGGAGAGGGGGGAGGGAGGGGGAAGAGGGGGGGTGGGGGGAGGGGGCTGGCACGGGGAGGCCGCAATACTCATCTTGTCTCGTCTCACGTGAGCTGCCTTCCACAGCGTTGCACCACGGGAGGAGGGGAGTGGCTGGCGGGTAGGGGGGAAGGAGAGAGTAGGATGGGAAGGGGGAGAGGGAGGGGAGAGGGGGAGGTGAGTTGACCCAAAAAAGCAGTGGGGGAAAGGGAAGTGCGGTGGGAGAGCTATGGCGCTTGTAGAGGTGCCTCAACACTCGCCTCACTCATCTCACGTGAGCTATGGCGCTTGTAGAGGTGCCTCAATACTCGCCTCACTCATCTCACGTGAGCTCGCTGCCACAGCGCTGCACCACACCCACCTTGCGAAGGGGGGTGGGGAGGAGGCGCGGGGGTGGCCAGAGGAGGAGGAGGAGGAGGAGGAGGGGGAGGGGGGAGGGGGGAGGGGGGAGGGGGGAGGGGGGGGGGGAGGGGGGAGGGGGGAGGGGGGAGGGGGGAGGGGAGTGGGGGATGGGGATGGGGATGGTTGAGGGGGGATGGAATGGGGAGGGGGGTGACTTTCGAGTGGACAAGAAAATGCACTGCGTTTGGGGGGGTGTCAAAGGAATTGGGTGGGTTGGTTGGGCGGACAATGGTGTGATGTGGAGGGGGGCGAGGGGGTGAAGGGGGCGAGGGGGGTGTGGCGGGACAAACGGGGCCAGGAGAAACACATAAGCGAGCAGAGAGGGCACAAGGAGAAAGAGACGTGTGATGGATGAAAGACAAGGAGGGGAGGGACCGAAGTGGACAGAGAGAGAATCGCCTTGGACCTTAACCCTTGTTCCCCATCACCATTCACCATTCCCTCATACTTTCATCCCTCTCACCCATCCACACCGCAATCCTTCAGATCTTAAACCATCTCCCTCCTACGGTTAAACCCCTCTCCAGTTGCCCTTCCTTTCACAAAATATCACCTATTTCACTCCCCAAAACCCCCTTGCACCCATCTGCACCTCCCAGAGCATCCCCACCGCCTCATAGCACCATCCTACTACCTGCAACTGTAAGATTCCCCTTTCCTCCGCACTCACCATCCCCAAACCTATACCCTAGCCACATCCGCCAGTTCCCAATTCCCATTTTCCATTCCTTACTTTCCATTCCCCACTCACCCCCATTTCTGACCCTCACGCCCTCACCTCCCCCCCATGCCCCTCACCTCCCCCCCATCCCCCTCACCTCCCCTCATGCCCCTCACCTCCGCCACCATGCCTCTGACGGCGTCTCCTCCCAGAGCAACCCCCTCTTGGGCTCACCCAACTCCCTTCCCCCATTTTCCACCCCCATTCTTCCACCCCATTCCCTCAGTTTCCATCCCCATTCCCCAACCCTACGCCCTCACCTCCGCCACCATCCCCCTGACGGCGTCTCCCCCCAGTGCATGCACGGCTCGCCTCATCAGCCCCCTCTTGGGCTCGCCCAGCCGCGCACACGCCCACGCCGCCACACTGCAATGGGGGGGAGTGGGAGGAGAGGGGGAGGAACATGATGATGAAGGAGAGGCAGACCAAAGCAAAAACTCGCAATGCACTGCCAACATGGCTCGCCTCATCAGTGCCCTCTTGAGCTCGCCCAGCCGCGCACACGCCCACGCCGCCACGCTGCCACGAGGGGGAATGGGGGAAGGGGGGAGAAATCGGAGGCGAAGGAAGGAGGGGCGGAGGGGGGGAGGAGATGGAGGCGAGAGAGTGGGGAGGGTGAGCGGAAGTGGGGAAATGGAAGAGGGCAGGCAGGGCCCGGCGGGAGGAAGTAGGAGGCACGAGGAGGGCGCAGCGGAAGCAGGCGGTCGGGTTTGGGGGATGAGAGATCGGTGGGCGTTTGTAGCGGGTGACGTAACACGAAGCGAATGACGGGGTCGCACGAGTCGCAGGGGCCAAGGGAAGGGAAGGATAGAAAGGTGAGAAGGCAGAGGATATTCCACGGTTGATTAGTCAAACCACACCAATCACGCCGCCATCCCGCCATCGCCCCATCCCGCCATCGCCCCATCCGCGCCATCGCCCCATCCCGCCATCGCCCCATCCAGCCATCGCCCCATCCCGCCATCACCCCATCCCGCCATCGCCCCATCCCGCCATCGCCCCATCCCGCCATCACCCTATCCCGCCATCGCCCCATCGCCCATCGCGCCATCGATGATCATCGCCCCTAACACCTCACCTCGCGTCGTCCATCTCCCTCTCCGCCCCTCGCCGCCCAGCGCCCCGCCCCGCCCCCCTCCCCCTCGCCCTCCGCCCTCTACCCGCTGCACGTCCCGCGCTCACTCCCCGCCCGCCTCCGCTGTCGCACTCATCCGGCGCGAGATCGCCCATCGCCACAACGGAGTTTCTTCGGGTTTGCTTTCGGGTCGACTCGAAAGTCGCATCGCCGTCGTCGCATCCATCGCGCGCGCGCTCGTCCATCGCCACGGAGAAGTTGCCCCGGGTTTGCTTCGCATCGCGGAAAAAAAAGGGTCGAGCAGCGGGAATGGGTTCCTTGAAGGTCTTGCATAGGATTGATCCAAAAAACTCCCTACGCCATCTTGGCTTTCGAAAGTGCCTGCCAGGATTCGGGGCTGGTTCGAAGTTTTGGCGTCGGTTGTAACATTTTGTGTGTTCGCGAAATCCGGGTAGCACAAGTGCCTTTCGTCAGTAATTCGCAAGCAGGCGGTCAAGTTCAGTTTCTTTTGAGATTCTGCCATTCTTGGTGCGACGAACAAACCCAACAAGGATACTGTCGCAAAAACCCACAACCTTGGTGGTTGAGTGTCAAGGTCTCGCCGGTCTTCGCCGCTGGACCAAGCAAGAAATGCTAGACTTCGCAAGCTTCTGTTACCAGACGTGGACCACACGCAACCCGATTTCGCCGAGCCGCATGGCTTACAAATTCCGTCAGTTTACAAATTACGAACTGGCCATTCCTCCAAACTGGCTCCCTTTCCCTCCAATTACCCTTCCCTTCCCCACGAATTTGACCTGCCTGTAATTCCAGCGCGGCAGAAAGTTGATTCCTCAATTTGGTTGCTTCATTCAACCGTTAGAGGCGTTGGGGAAGGAGTGCGTGTTGTTTGTTGCCTTCCACATTTACTCTCTTCACTACTTACTGAGCGCGGAACTTGCAAAAAAGGCAATGGCTACGACTAGAGTTCTGCCTGAGGGCACCGCCGACGAACAGAGTGCTTTCCCACCAGCAGTAATAGCAGCAACGGATGTAGAAAAAGATACGGCACTAGTTTCTCGGGTGACTGGACTTCCAAGCGTTCACATTTTCCGTTTGGAGCAATGGCCGTCTGCTTCCAACGAGAGTGTAGACTTCAATTATTATCAGCAGGAGCAGCAGCAGCAGGAGCGCAAAACAGCGGATTTTTCTGATGTAGACTCACTGAAAATGGAATTGCCGCGACCCATTTCCCCAGCCTCCCCGAACAGCTGCGGTCGTGCCCACTTAGCGACTTTACCCGCGAAGTCCGTTACACTTTCAGCCGACGTTCTCGAGGATGTTCTTCGACGACTGCAAAGACCCGAACACGCCCACGCAGTCAGCACCGTTTGCAAGGAATGGCGCGACGTCTTCCAGAATCGAACCCGCTACTTCTCAGTTGTTTACGACTTGCGGACCGCGCGCTGGGAGCCTTGTTTCCGTGACGTCAGCAACTGCAGTTTCGTTTCGCAGTGGCATCCGGGAATCGAGAAGCTATGGATTCTAGACGACCCGCCACTGTGCATGCCACAGCACGTACGCTTCATAAGCAAGAACCCCTGGTTCACGCCGGCGCTAGTATCGGATCTCATTTTGTCGCAGAATTTTCGACAGCTCGACTCCGCGATTGTTTCGCCCGACGGAAGGCAGATTGGCGCCTTGATTAGACGGTTTCCGAACCTGACGTCCGTCAATATCCCGATCTTCGTCGACAAGGTTTCTGGTCAGCAGGGCTCGTCTCAAGATGAGGGTCTGCGTGAAGCGCTATCCGCAATCGCCACGTGCCGCTCGCTCCGCTCTTGCCGGATCCAGATCAGATTTCCCCGAAACTTCTGGTTCCGACACCTTAGCGCGTTCAACGCCATCATTACCGAAGGCATCTCCAACATTCTTGGTTCCTGCCCGCGCCTCGAGTCGTTCCACGTGCAAACGGACATGCTTCGATTCACCGTGCCTGACAATTTGCCTGATCTGGTAACCGCAATCGCTTCCGCCGCTGCCTCGGCAGACGAAGCAGGCTCAGGAGGTTCGCCAGGCTCGGCAGGCTCGGCACCCAGAGGAGCAACGGCGGAGCTACCCCTACCCACAGAATTGCTACCAGGCCCAAAGCATCGGCGGCAGCGGCTATCCCATCTCTCCCTTCCTCTGCATCGTTCCCTCTCCGCCTCATTCTCATCCACCTCCTTCGCTTCCACGTTCCCTTACCTCCGCTCGCTTCAGCTTCACGTGACTTCCGCGAACGAGTCGTTTTTCGCCACTGCCGCTCCGTTTTCGCGACTACGCGTGTTACAAGAGCTTCGCATATCTTACCACGACCAGCTTCGGTCGAGCTCCGAGGTCCACCCGCAGGATCGGGCACCAAGCCTCTCTCCGGACCTGCTTCGCGGCTTGGAGCATTCTCTACGGAAGCTGACTCTCAACCTCCGGATCGGCTCACGCAATTTCGATGGCAGCTTGGCATTCGTACCCGATATTGAACACGGGAATTTATTCATTAGAGTGTTTCCGGACTCGATATGGGGGCTGGAACGACTGGAGGAACTGGAGACGGACATGTGCAGCAGCAGAGCAGCGGTGAACGTGGCGAACGAGGACAACGAGGAGAGTGGGATTTTGGACGAGCCGCGATTTGCAGGCTTCAAGCAGTTGACTTCGTTGACTCTCACTTCGGACCAATGGAAGGCCCCTCCCCCATCCCTCAGGCACCTGCCGAGCCTGACGCGGCTCCACATGCCCCTGGCTGCTCCGAGCCTGAGCTCCAGGCCCGGGATGGGACTGTGGCATCTGACATCCCTGAAAGACCTGTGCATTTCTGAGGTAGACAGGCGAGGGTTTGGGGAACGGCAGCAGCAGCAGCGGCAGGAGCATAGACAGCAGCAGCAAGGGCAGCAGCAGCAGGAGCAGGGTCAGGGGCAAGTCCAGACTCTTGGGCCGTTTCTCCCTCCTGCTCTGGAGTCCCTGACTCTGTATGGACGTCCTTATAACGAGCAGAGCCTGTCCCCCTGGGCCTCCTCTACAATCACACAGCTCAAGCTGGTGAACGTCCACTGTCCACCAGTCCCGGACTCAGATTGCCTCTTTCCAAACCTCAGGGTCTTCCAAGCCATACGCTCCACCGCTCAGGTTGGGGCTCTGCCGAACCTGAGGCACATGCTTCAGAGGGCCGAGTTTGGTTTCGAGAATCGTCTAACTGCACACCCGAACCTGACTTTCCTGCAGGTGGATTACCCAAGCAGCAAATATCCCATCCCACCGATGCCAAGGCTTGAGATTCTCATTCTCCACCAGCTTCTCCCATCCTCCAGGACCTTGGAGTGCCTCTCTTCCTTCTCTTCTCTGCGCTTTCTGAGGCTCTCAAATGTGGCAGTCGGGAGGGAAGGCACCGGGAAAATTTCCTGCCCGCCGAAGCTGACAACCTTGGAGATTCACGAGTCAAGCTTTCCATGCCTGCCTGGGAGCTTTGCCGGTTTCCATCGCATCAGGAAGCTGCGGCTGATCTACTGCGAGCAGATGAAGTCGCTACCAGAGTACTTGGCGGGCTTTAAGCGCCTTACAGAGCTCACCATCAGGGGTTGTAAGGGTAAGATCCAGATCCCAGACTGTCTAGAACATGTTCTGGCTCAAGCCAACTATAAGGTGGAAAGGTGTGAAGGGGACAGTGTGACATGAGTTAATTGGGACCGTAGCTTGTTGGTTAGTGGTAGAATGTATCTCAGACAACAAAGTCCTGGATAGTAGACATATTCCATGCCTGTAAAAGTCTTTGTTGTCTGATAGTAGACACACACAGGACTTTGGTTTATGGTTTTCCAAACCTCAGGGTCTTCCAAGCCATAAACTCCACTGCTCAGGTTGGGGCTCTGCCGAACCTGAGGCACATGCTTCAGAGGGCCGAGTTTGGTTTTGAGAGTCAGATAACTGCACACCCGAACCTGACTTTCCTGCAGGTGGATTACCCAAGCAGCAAATATCCGATCCCACCGATGCCAAGGCTTGAAATTCTCATCCTCCACCAGCTTCTCCCATCCTCCAGGACCTTGGAATGCCTCTCTTCCTTCTCTTCTCTGCGCTTTCTAAGGCTCTCCAATGTGGCAGTCAGGAGGGAATGCACCGGAAATATCACCTGCCCGCCCAAGTTGAGAACCCTGGAGATTCACGAGTCAAGCTTTTCATGCCTGCCCAAGAGCTTTGAGTGCTTTCATCGCATCAGGAAGCTGCGGCTGATCTACTGTGAGCAGATGACGTCGCTGCCAGAGTTCCTGGCGGGCTTTCAATGCCTCACAGAGCTCACCATCAGGGGCTGTAAGGGTAAGATTGAAATCCCTGAAAGTCTAAATGCTGTTCTAGCTCGAGCGAACTATAAGGTGGAAAGGAGTTAGGAGGATAATACGACTTAAGAGAGTAAGATTGCTGAATGGTAGGTGTGGTGGGCTGACAAGCTCGTTTTCCAACCTGTCACAAGCTGCTACACAAACCCTTTCTCACACGGCATAAGATATAAGAGTGTTGACGAGGGGCATGAGAAATTCTCTCTTACCAGATAAACAAAACAAAACAAGAGTGTTAAGACTTTGTAGAAACAAAACAAGTACCGTAAGTGTTGGAAACAGCAAATCATAAAGCGCCTCTGTCGTGTCGAAACATCACACCAGAAGCGAAGCGAACCATATCGAGGCACACGCGAGTCAACCCTCGGAGGTTGAAAGAGGTTGCCGGAGGTTACGCGAAAGTCAAAGGTCAGCGACCTTTGACCTGACAAGTACAGCGCGACAGCAAGGACACACAACTGACTCGCTACAGAGCAGTTGCCCGAGTCGTCACTGTATCGAACCGCAACAGCAACAGTAAAGTAGTTATAACTGTATCCTTTCATATTCCTTGTACTCATATATAAACGCGTGTATCTCTTTGCTTTAATTAACTTACTTTGCCCTCACATACCAGCGCAAGGTGGTTCACAAGCTTTCATTAAACGCTTCCGCTATTACAATTATCCTACCCCGAATTTACCCCTGCAAAAGATCCTAAGGGCTGTCTCAGCCCAACATGGTATGAGAGCTATCAGGGAAAATTCAACTACTGTCAAATCATCAACAGACGACATGGCAACATACAAGGAGAGGAGTTCCTCTAATGGTTCTCCCGGGACTACTCCTACCCCACCTCCTGCCTCTGGCCTGCAGACAGAGGAAGGAACCGCAACGGGACCAGCAGCGCCTTCGGCCAGCCAGCCTGCCAACTTCGACCAGAGTATGATGGAGAAGTTTTTCTCCTTCATGTCGTTTTACGAGCAACACCAGCAGTCGGCACCTGCGCAGTCAAACAACAGCAACAACAACAACGTGACTCCAATGAGTCTTGATGGCTCATCATATGCGCGCGGAAATCAGCAACAACCTACCTTTGCTCCGTATGAACGCGGGTCCATCAGCTTCATGCCGCACCCGCAAGCTCCATCTGGACAAGAAAAACAACTGGATGCACTACAAGTTCAGTCGCAATTCGCGCACGTCTTAAAGCTGCAGACGTCAAGGCCCTTCGACGGAAAAGACTTCTTTACCTGGTCGTTCGAATTCGAGTTGATGATGGAAGGCGCGCAGATACTTGGCTTCTTCGACGGGTCCCTGCCATACCCAACAAACGGCACACAGTATGAGAAGCAGCAGTACACATATCAGTCGATGATGGCGTATACGATCCTACTGAGAAACATCACCCCAACTCAGCAGCAGAACATACGGTCTTACCGGGGATTCGGCAACTCCGCGGAACTCGCGTACAAGCACCTGAAGGACCTGTATCAAGCAACAGATAGCGTCAGTCAAAGTCGGCTAATGGCGCAACTGACAACGGTTGAAATGAAACCAGGCGAAAAAGGAATGGCATATGTCAGCCGATGTCGCGAACTGCGCGACAAGCTTCTTCGATGCGGAGGGTCAATCTCTGAAGACGCCTTCGTGACAGTCATCATTGGCGGCCTCGGTCCTCAATGGCGCGCAACAAAGGCCATTCTCCGAGCCCACGGAAGAATCTCCGAAGCAGCGCTCTGCGCCGAAATACACGCTGAGCAGCAAGACATGGACCTGCAAGAAGAACGACACAAGAGAAAGACATCAGTACCGGAATTCGCGTTTCACACTCAGCGACGGTACAACAACAACAGCAACCGACAACAACCAAAACCCGTACCTCCGTTCTGTCACATCTGCAAGACGTCTGGGCACCCACGCACGCACTGCCCGCATCGACAACAGCCAACGCCACCACAGCGACAGCTTCGACCCTCAAGCAGCCAAGTTGCCTCAACACAAGCGAGCCCTACGACCCAGATTCAAGCCTCAACACCACCTGCGGGACAACCTGCACAAGGAACAAGGAACATCGTCAGTTGTATGGCAAGACTGACCGACTCCTGCGTCACTGAATCACCACCACATTACTCACCGGAAGAACAGCTCGACAACAGCACACCCCGCCGCGAGTCACTGCAGCCAAACCCGACATACGCCGCCATCGCCCAGAGTGAACCATCCGGGAAGGACACATGGTTCTTGGACAGTTGCTGCGGACAGCACATGTGCTCTTTTGGACGCTTCGTACAACGAGAGTATCAACTCCAACGTGAAGTAGTCATCACCGTCGCCAACAACCAGAACCTGCGCACACGACGACAAGGCGTGGTACAACTTCAGTCACGAGAAACAAGTGTCATTCTACAAATGACCAAGGTCTTAATCGCAGAAGGACTCGGCTACAACTTACTGAGCGTCAGTCAGTTGATGGCGAAAGGCATTCACCTCGAAGCAGACAGCACCACCCAGGAGTTCAAGCTGTACCACGGAAAGGGCGGCCTCTACATCGGAAAGGCGATCCTCAAGAACAACGTCTTCGTTCTTGACTTCGTACCAGACCTTGGCACCGCCGACAGCGACGGCATCGTCAGCTTTGCTCCTTGGACACATCCTCCAGATCTTGACCCAGACTTCAGCCCCGGCGGTTTCTGGCACTCTCACACGATCCCTGAAACAGAACGAACAAGAGCGTTAGTGACGATTCAAGCAACATCGGCAGCAGCAGCAACAACATCGTCAGCAGCAGCAACAACATCGGCAACAGCAGAAACAACAACGATAGCAGCGGGAACATCAACACCAATAGCTGGCCCTTCAACGACACCGATCTCCATCGACGATTCACCACCGACACCCGCACAACAACTCAATCCAGCACCACGCGAAGTCCACCGAAGCACAAACGTCACCGCCGGCTTCTACTCCAACTCCGATTTGTATCGGAGATCACCCGGGCACCGCGCCACTGAAGGTACCTGGCACGCAAGAATGGGACATCCAAGCAACACAGTGTTAAACAACACGATAAGAGCAGGAGTGCTCGACAAAGACTCACTTCTACTGACCGACGGCAGAGAACTTCAACGAGCCCGTGGAACGTGCTTCACTTGCCCTGAAGCCGACTTACCGCATCAGCCGTTCGTCTCACATCACAATCCAAGCGCACCTGCGTACACACCTCTCGAAAAGGTGTACAGCGACATCTTATACAACCGTGAACCCGGACAAAACGCCTACAGTTACACCATCACCTTCATCGACGCCGCAACTCGATATGTCTGGCACCTAAACCTTCCAAGTCGCGACATGGCTTTCGAAGCCTTTGTCGCCTGGCTTCCAGTCGCAGAACGAGAATCGGGAGCTAAGCTAAAAAGCTTTCAGTCAGACGGGGGAGGAGAATACACCTCACAGAGGTTCAAGCAGTACCTGGCAGAACGAGGCATCAAGAGGCTCATCTCCCTTCCCTACGCTCACCAACAGCAAGGCGTAGCAGAAAGGATGAACAGGACGCTCCAAGCCACCATGCGCAAGCTGCTACGTGGCATGCACCTGCCCAACCACCAGTGGCCCGAAGCAATGGACCACGCCGTGATGCTGCACAACTTGCTTTCGTCATCATCGCTCCCAAACAACGCATCACCGCATCTGCTGTGGACAGGAAAATTGGGCAGCACAAAAATGTTGAGAGTCTTCGGCTGCATGGTACAGTACCGACCTCCATCTGCACGAGCTGGGCGATTCTCTCAACGCGCACAGTGGGGACTACACCTGGGCATCGCAAAACATTACAACGCGTGGAAAATCTTCGACATCAACAGCAAGGAAACAGTAGCAGCACGTGATGTCATCTTCTACGAACACCTCACCCTCGGAACTCACCTCATGTACATCGAAGAAAACAGACCTGACCTCTCGGGCGGATTTCATGGGAACCGAGCCTTCGCCTCGGCAGAAGACGAAGCTGACTGGGACGAGCAGAACGTGGAGGGAGCCTCGGAAGCAGCCGGACCACTCCCTTACTGCTCCGTGGACATCCCAATGGACGACGAAAATCCTCGCGAAAGCATCAACGCCGAAGTCTTCTACGATTTCGCCGACAACGGTTACGTTACACCTGCACGGGTCAACACCAACGAAGCAGAACGAGTAGGACCAAATTTCAATCCTACACCAGAAGCGGGAGACGAAGCAGTTTATCCCGAGGACACCACACTCCCCCGCTACTCACAGAGTGGACTTCAGATACTCGGACTCGTCACCGCAGTCCACGGTCCCGCCATTCCTAAAGAGCCTGCGACGGTTCAACAGGCTCTGGGGGGGGAGCACAGGGAAAAATGGCGTGAAGCCATGGACAGAGAATTAAAAGCGCTGGAGGAACGGAACACCTGGAAAGTCGTTCCCATCAGCGTGGCAAGAAACAAGACCATCCTCACCGGGAAATGGGTCTTCCGCGTCAAAACGAAAGCAGACGGCACAATTGAGAAGTTCAAAGCACGCTGGGTAGTACGTGGATTCGATCAGGAGCACGGACGGGACTTCACCGAGACATTCGCCCCGGTCAGCCGACACACCTCACTTCGAATTCTTCTCGCGATCGCCGCCATGAAGAAGAAGAAGCTACGACAGATCGATGTCGCCAACGCGTTTCTCTACGCACCTGTCGACGCGGAGATCTTCGTCGAACTCCCACATGGCACTAACGGAGAGCCGAACAAAGTCTGTCAACTACTGAAATCGCTCTACGGGATTAAGCAAGCCCCGCGGCTATGGCAGCAGTACCTACACGCCCGTCTCATCCGCATTGGCTTCAAACAACTACCCCACGATCAGGGGATGTACCGGCTCACGAAGAACGACGACTACGTCCTGCTAATCGTCTATGTAGACGACCTCCTCTACATCGGCTCGTCCGACGGCATCACCACCTGGTTCGAAGGGGAGCTGCAGCGGGATCTCATGCTCACGGTTTCATCTACCGTCACACAGTATCTTGGGCTCAACATCCGAGAAGAAGATAACAACGCGATCTACCTCAGCGCCGCAAAATACGCCGACACCATCGCCAAGCGTTTCGCTCTTGCACCAACCGCCATCTCCACACCATATCGCTACACGACAGGGAACAACAAGGGTGAATCCACTCCACTCAAGCCTGCCGGCATTCGCGACTACCAGAGAAAGCTGGGATGCCTTCTCTTCGCAGCCGTCACCTGTCGCCCAGACCTATCCTACTCCGCAAGCCAACTCGCCACCTACCTCAAAAGACCCGAAGCAGAGCACCTAGCAGAGCTCGACCGCGCTCTTCACTACCTCGTCAGCACCCCGACGATCGGGCTAACCTATCACAAGAACGCAACTACACCGACTAAGTTAATCGGCTACGTCGACGCAGATCATGCTGGTGACTCAGACAACAGACGCTCACGCACCGGCTACATCTATCGCCTTGAACCTATCGGTCCTATCTCCTGGCAGTCGAGCAAGCAGGAGTTAATCGCACTCTCATCAGCTGAAGCAGAATACATTGCACTCTGCTCAGCCACCAAAGAAGGACTTTATCTTCGCGAGCTGCTGGAAGAAGCAAAGTTAGCCGAGTTACCCAACTTCACTCTGTTCTGCGACAACCAATCGGCAATTCGCATCGCCAACAAAAGTGGCTTCGCGAACAGAACGAAACATATCGCCCTGCGATATTTCTTCGTGAAAGACGAGATCGAGAAGGGGAGACTTGAACTATCCTACTGCCCCACGTCCGAGATGGCAGCCGACTATTTGACCAAGAAGCTCGGAAAGCAGAAGTTTGAGTACTGCATGCTGCTGACTGGACAAGGCCACGTCATCAGCAGCGACACTCCAGAAGCGAAGGGGAGTGTTGGAAACAGTAAATCCTAAAGCGCCTCTGTCGTGTCGAAACATCACACCAGAAGCGAAGCGAACCATATCGAGGCACATCGGCGAGTCAACCCTCGGAGGTTGAAAGAGGTTGCCGGAGGTTACGCGAAAGTCAAAGGTCAGCGACCTTTGACCTGACAAGTACAGCGCGACAGCAAGGACACACAACTGACTCGCTACAGAGCAGTTGCCCGAGTCGTCACTGTATCGAACCGCAACAGCAACAGTAAAGTAGTTATAACTGTATCCTTTCATATTCCTTGTACTCATATATAAACGCGTGTATCTCTTTGCTTTAATTAACTTACTTTGCCCTCACATACCAGCGCAAGGTGGTTCACAAGCTTTCATTAAACGCTTCCGCTATTACAATTATCCTACCCCGAATTTACCCCTGCAAAAGATCCTAAGGGCTGTCTCAGCCCAACAGTAAGACCCTCCAATGGTTATGGTGGTGGTACGGGACGGGAGTGTTGAAATACGGTTCTTAGTCTATGACGTGCTTAGGCTTAGGAGAAAAAGCTAGGAGGATGTCGAGGGAGTTTTGCAAAGGAGAATGGAGAATGGAGGGGATTCACAATAGAATCGGAAGAACCTTCCATATAGGATAGGCATAGCAAGAAGGTGCACCACCAACACAGGGGAGAGAACTACACTACAGTAAATCCTACAGGCAGTTATATGCGGTAACACAATATGTAATTATATTCTGACAGGGAGGTATCATGTCATGCAGGCGGGAGGTCGGTGCCATCGTTGAGAGCGCAGCACACAACAGCCTTCTGGTGGCCCTGGTACACGCGCACACAGTTGCCACTTGCCAGCTCCCACAGCCGCGACGTGCCGTCCGATGAAGCTACAGAGGTGCAAAAGGGACAAAGGGGGAGAGGGGGTGCGGGGGCAAGGGCGGAATGGAAGAGGGGTGGAGGGGGGGGAGGGGGAGGGGGAGAGCATCAGGTGGCCCTGGTACACGCACACACAGTTGCCACTCGCCAGCTCCCATAGCCGTGACGTGTCATCCGATGACACTGCAGAGGCGAGGGGCGGGGTAGGGGTGAGGGGAGTAGGAGAGGGAGGGGTTAGGAGTAGGGGAGAGGAGGGGCAGGCAGAGGTCGAAGGAGTGGGGTGTCTCTGGTACACCGGTGCTGCTGCTGCTGCCTAGCTCCCTGAGGCAAGACACATTGTAGATGTTTTTCAAACGGAATCCTCAAGCATTGCATTGTCAAACACAAAGTGGGCCACCAAAGAGAGCAACAGAGCTAGCAGTCCTGCACCATCATGCACCCCTCCACATGCACCCCTCTACAGGCACCCCTCCACATGCACCCCTCTACAGGCACCCCTCCACATGCACCCCTCCACGTGCACCCCTCCACGTGCACCCCTCCACATGCACCCCTCCACATGCACCCCTCCACATGCACCCCTCTACATCCACGCACCCGTCTACATGCACCGCTCGTGTGGAAACCATGCACGTAAGAAGCCAATACATACCTGAGACGAGGTATGCCCCATCGATGGAGAACACACAGTCCCACACCCATCTGGCATGGCCTGAGAAAGACGTGGAAACACACGGGATGATTGGTGATTGGGGGGGAATGGGAAGATGGTGGGTCATGAGTATATCGCAGTTGGAAGATGCTGGAAGGAAAACAAAAGAGAGAAGCGGATGTGAAATACATCTCGTGACACTAACGTGGAATGGCATTACCAGATTTTCAGGCATGGAATTACCATCCCAGGTTTTGAAGAGGTTGGTGGATTCACTGAAGCCTGGAGTCGCGTTTACCTGTTAGTGTTCTCTCCAGGGTGAAGCCATCTGCATTCCATATCTTCACTGTGCCATCAGCTGATGCTGTAGCGAGGTACCTAAAAAAGAGGACGGATGGGTCAAGAGGTACGGAAGAAAAGCAGATAAGGGTAAGATGCGGTTGTTGGTTTAGTTAAGAGGTGTGGAGTGGTTTGAAGTGGTGTGGGGTTAATGGGGTGATGACTTATGAGGGGATTACAGGGGGTTAATGGGGTATATATGGATGTATGGGGGGGTAAAAAATCGAGGAGTCTACAGGAAAAAAAAAAAAAAACGAGTAACGAGGAGATAAAGGGTGGATGTGCAAAGAAATAAGCAAGGAGAGGAGGTGTCAAGACAGCTAATCCTTAGATCCAGCATTGTGACAACGAAGATTACAGTGTGTCAAGTGGCATAGAAGAAAACAGCCGTAACTAGTAGTAATGTCTTTCAAACTGCCGTGCAGCAATCTCGAAACCACATACGACGTGCAATCGGATGGCGTGACGCGCAAGTGGGACGGCGTGAGTGAAGCAATGACAGCACGCCTATTAGGGTCGGAGAATTTGGACGCGAGAGAAGGAACTTGAGTGCATAGCTGCTGTATACTTTTGAGAATTCTAGAGAACATGCCTGCACCGATGGAAGGCAGGCAACACACCTGTTGGGGCAGACAGGCAGCAGGCCTGAACATACCTATTGGGGTCAGAGAATTCAGGCGAGAGCAGGCACTTGAGCACATAGCTGTTGTGCGCCTGCAGCTTGTGCAGCGGCTCAAAGCTCGCTGCCGTCTGCCCAGGGCGGGCGGGTGATGGAGGAGAGGAGAGGGGGCGAGGGGTGGGAGGGAATGCACAAACACAGCTCCATGAGGCGAGAGGGCAAAAAAGAGGCACTTGACATTCGTGTGCTTGAAGGTTCCAGCAGCTCGTAGGTGGCTATCGCCTTGGTGTGCGGCAGGGGCTGGGGGAAATAGGGCACACTGGAAGGTAGCTCATAGGTGGCAGCGGGCGCAGTACAAGGGGGCAGGGAGGGCACACACAGAAGGAATCACTTTTGAGAATTCTCAAGGGTGTGTGCGAGCCGGAGCATAGAGTTGAGATTGAGCAGGTAGAGAGGGCACGAGCGGCCACAAGCGGGCACGGGAGGGCACGAGCGGGCATGGGAGGGCATGGGAGGGCATGGGAGGGCATGGGAGGGCATGCACACACACACCTGCGAGCCTGAGGTGAGGCGCCAGACAAAGCATGTGCCCTTGTTGTTAGCTGCGACGACCATGCTGCCATCCCACATGACTGCCACCGACCTTATTGCCGTGTCCACCTCTGGTACCTGCATGTAACCATGGATGACGTGACGATTGTGAGGAGACAAGGACACAAAGACAGCGCTTGGAAACAGAGCCAGCAGTGGTGCTAGTTGCACTGACCATGCTGCCATCCCAAATGACTGCCACGGTCCTTATGGCATGGCCATATCCACCTCCGGCACCTGCACGCATGCAATGCAGGGGTGATGTGACGGTAGCAAGGGGACAAGGCCTCCAAGACAGAAGTTCATACAGTCATAGGGTCATCAGGGCGACATCCGAACAGAGATGAAAGTGGCGTTGACTCACATCGACTCCCATTGACTCAGGCTGGCTCGAACTGACTCACCAATTCGCAGCTGCACGCGTTGGCAATGAGGTCCCACACGCAGATGTTGCCATTCTGGTTGCCCGAGATCAGCTCCGATTGATGCCCTCCCTGTGCTGTGTGTGTGGCACATGGCACACGGCACCGCACGGCACACTGACTCACAGTGACTTGCGTTGACTTGCATTGACTCACCAGTTTGCAGCTGCACGCGTTGGCAGTGAGGTCCCACACGCGGATGTTGCCATTCTGATCGCCTGAAATGAGCTCCGTCTGGTTGGGGTGCAGCACCACCGTGTTCACTGCTGCTCTCACAGTGAGGCACGTCCCGAGTGTGGTCTAATCAGTTCACACTGGCTCCTGTTGGCTTGCCTCGCGCTGACTTGCTTTGACTCACGTTGACCCGCATTGACTCACCAGTTCACAGCTGCACGCGTTGGCAGTGAGGTCCCACACGCGGATGTTGCCGTTCTGATCGCCTGAAATCAGTTCTGTCTGGTTGGGGTGCAGCACCACCGTGTTCACCGCTGCTCGGCTCTCATAGTCCCTCTGGTACAAGGGAGGGGCCCTGCAAGTCAGGGAGGATGCGCAAGAGTGGGGGGGAGGTGGGGGCGGAAGAAGGAGAAGGTACCACTGTCACGGGGATGAGCTCCGTCTGGTTGGGATGCAGCATCACCGTGTTCACTGCCGCCTGCTCTCATAGTCCCTCTGGTACACTGCTGTACCAGAGGGACTATGAGAGAACGGAGAGAACGGAGGAGACGGGAGGGCATGAGGTCCATCTGGTTGGGGTGCTGCCAGTGTTAGAGTGCCGTGCAGTGCACTGACTCTCATAGTCCCTCCGGTACAGCGGTGGGGATCTGGGAGTAGGGGAGAATACGCAAGAGGGGGGGGGAGGGAGGAGGAGGAGGAGGTACCAGCGTCACGTGTATGAGCTCCGTCTGCCTGGTCTGCAGCAACACCATGTTAACCACAACCCAGCGGTCACAGCTGACGCCCAGCGGTCACAGCTGACGCCCATCTACCACAGCGTTTGCATGCCATATATTGATGAAGCGATTGGGGGGGGCTCTGAAATCAAGCGAGGGAGTTTGAGCTAAAAGGAAAAGGACGTAGAATACAGGAACATCCGTGCAGGATGCACGGTTTAGAGCGAAAACGGGAAGAAACCAGTGTCAGATCCTGTCCTGACCTGACCCCACCACCTACTTGCAGAAATGCAGAACGGCCAAGATGTTAGATTGACCCTGACTTGCAGAAATGCAGAACGGCCAAGATTGAGATATTGATTCCACCTCGCATACTAGGTGTTGGCAGTGCCATACTAGACCAGACCATACTTGCACCTGCCATCACTCTAACGATGCCACATCCCCATCCCCATATATGCCATCACTCTAAAGATGCCACATCCCCATCCCCATATATGCCATCACTCTAACGATGCCACATCCCCATCCCCATATATGACATCACTCTAATCTAACGATACCATCACTCTAAATATTGTATATGCAGTCCCCATCTAGACACACGAGTAATAGGCCGGCCCGTCCCGACCCAACCCAAGT